TTTCTCCCTGTGAGGAATGAACATGAACCCGATAGAAGGATCACAAACCTACTTCCACTTGATCAAGTGCTAATTCCAGGGAAATAGGCCACATTACAAACACCAAAATGTTTTAAAAGGATGTTCCTTGAAGCCCAAGCACTCCCAGAGGAGCTGCCATCCAAAAAAACCTCATTCAAAGTGCTGATGAAAATGTAAGAGGGAGAAAAGCGTTGCTGATTATTTTTTGTTTGGTTTTATTTTTTTTCCTAATGTTTCACCCATTACTGCTGTGAGACACATACTTGCAAAATTAGGCAGTGGAAGTGAAGAATGCAAACTCAGCACTGTCTTATGTAGCAGACTGGTATTTAACCACCCCAAAAGGAATAAATTACTGCAGTTATGATCAGAAATAGATACATGGAGAAAAACAAAACAAACAAGGACTTCTGGGGGACAAAGCAATGGTAAAACAAGAGTACTTGAGTGCCCCAGCATCAGTCATGCTCTGCAGAGCCACCAGGGTAAGAGACAGTGCAAATTGATACTCACAGAACTTCACCAGGAGGTACTCGGTTTCCTTCAATGCTCTGTCAAAGTTGCTCTTTTTCAGCAAAAGGACACTGTTCTCCTTTTTTATTTTGGGGAGCTTGTCTTTCTTTAGCTTTGCTTCATTTGGGCTTATGGTGTCTGCTGCCAGGAAGCCTGTAAGAAATAGCAATAGAAGAGGGAAAAGCAGATGTGTCTTCATCGTGTCCTGCCTTTATCCAGATACTGAGAAAGAAAGAAACAAAGGAGCACTAAGCAGCAGGTTTTGCTGCTCATGTGGCTGTGGCTGTATTAGCCAAACCAAGAGGTTGATAAGGTTGATAGAGGAGTCTACCACCAGTGGAGCCAACTGCCCCTTTCCACAACAAGGTTAAGACAGTTACCTACTTCTCGATCTTGAGCAATGTTTGGGGGGAAAAAGTATCTGTGGGAAAGTTGGGTTTAGCGTTTCTGTAACAAAACCCTGGGGAGAGGGTGAGAGAGAGAGAGCACAGGAGGAAATGCTTGCAGCCAGTGCACTTCTGTAATTAGACACCCTGGTGTTGTCAGTGTTACCCGGTGCAGTGCTGCAGACAAAACAGCAGGTGAGGTACCTGGGACAGCATTTGAGGGTTGTCTCTTGCACTTATGGAGCTACTTATTGTGGATCTGACTGAGAGTGTGCTGAAGTCAGGGAAAAACTCTCATTGTTTTGTATATGTAATTTTAATATCTGCATCTCTTCAGTGTCTTGTCTCTGAGGCTCCTTTCTCTACTTAAGTGCCAAGTTGTAGCTCAATTAAGATACTACTTTGTGGGTTAAACCACTGGTTTTCAGTGGTAGCACAATTTCATGCAGTTATAATATCTGTGCAATAAACCAAAGGGACTAAATGTACTATTTCATCTTTGGATAGCTATCAACCATGCCTGTGAACTACGAGGCCTTTCTAGCTTGTCTTTTCAGAATGTTTTAAAAAATATCTTACAGAAATATTGAGAAGGTACCAGTTACTAAGAAATTATTATTTCTGTAAATATCTGTAATTGTAGCAGAAACATTTTTGACCCTTAAACTGTGCTGAAATTTGTGAACTGTGCCCCCAGAGCTGCAGCCTCTCTATAGGGGATCAGGCATCCCAGTGGTTGTTTCAGTTGAACAAAGGATGGAGCTGACCTGGGGACAGGTGGGTCTGGATTAGTAGAACCAAACTGAGAGTTAAAGGAATTCCTCCAATAATGACTCTTCCTTCTCAAGGAGCAGCAAGTGCTGCTCTGCTCCTCATGCCCCTAGCAGACTTTTTATCCAGGAGGGTACTACTAAAAGGAAGGAGTGTTCATGGTAGCCTCCATTTTGTGGAGGGTGAAGGATCTTGGGTGACACGTTGCTTTAGTTTAGGTTGTTTTCACGCCTGGTGTGAGTGGGGCTGGGTTTCAAGAGAACTCTTTCCTAAGTCTCAAAGGGTTTGGGTTGTAATGCACCTTAAGATGTGCTCTATTTGTACTTGTACAGGGTGCCTAATGAAATCAGAGGGAGCTGTGTATTCAGGCTGCCTGCAAGATAAGATCACACATAAATACAGATTCAGCGATCAGGTACTAAAGGAGAGGAAAAAAAAGGTAGAAAGATAAGAGTCTCCCATTTGACTTTGTGGTCTCTTTCTCTTCATAACAGGCTCTTTTCCACAGATGTCTTTCAAGTAACATCTTAGTAAGGTTAAAAACCATCTTTTAGAATTACAGGTTAAACTGACAAGGTCTGTTTGATCTGAACAGGCAGTGTTGCAAGCTTAGAATGCAGCCTAAGGCTCCCAGAGCACAGGTAGGATGATAGAACCATTTGAATAGAGAGCTGGTTTTCCCCTATCTGCCACTGAAATAATAGCAGTCAACTTAAATCCCTCCTGAAAGCCTCCTACCAGGAAATAGGCACCATTTTGGAAGGGCTTCTAAGCTTTGTGTCCTAGAAGGAAACGCCAGTGAAAGGAGGGTCATACAACAGTCCATCCTGCCAGGACAGTTTGCAGTGAGGAAAGAAGTGGGATTTTGCAGAGCTGAACAGAAAATTGAAACTGGAGGAGTACAATGTTTTCTTTTAGACATAGACCTGTATATTGTACGGGAAACACTAGGAGAAACTGGAAGTGTTGGCATTTTCTTTGTGAGTTTGTTTTATGACCAGTGTCTTCTCCCAAGTTGCACACTTCAGCTGAACTGCAGAGCAAATGGAACTCTTTGGCATTTCACCTGTGCTCACCCACTGTTTATTTTGTGTTCATTCCATGTCCCCAAAGAAAATAGAACTCACAAGGAAATATTTCAGGGATTCATTGGTTTTATTGGTGCATAAATTCAGTATGACTCGCCATCTAGTGCATATTTAAGGCATAGCATAATTGCAGAGACCCTTTTAAGTCAAGGTGATGCTGTCCTCAAAGCACTTAATAACTAGTGGCATTTCATTTCTGTAAGCAGGCAGAGTAAAATATAAAATTTACAGGAATTAAGACAGATATTTAGAAAAGGACTTTTCTAAGTTAAGTGAAATTTAGAGATGAGATATGAGAACCATTCATCAGCTGACAAAGTGGAGAAGAAAGATTCTAATGAAAAAGCAGTGCACAATCTCTTTGACAGATAAAGAGGAGCATAAAATACTAGAGGGAAACGAGGATGTGCACAAACAACCTATTTATTCAAACTGGTTTGCATTAATTTATCCAATATCAAAAACACACAGTGTCCTATACCTGGCTAGTTTTAAGTGTATTTTCTTTCATTTCAGGTGACTGATTCCTAAGCTGTATTCCTGAGTTTTTCCCCACTGTCTGATAAAACATCATTTATCATGAGAATGTTTATTAAATCCTGGATTCCTCGGTGTCTGCAGATTCTCAGGTCGCCTTGCAGATCATTCCATGGATACCACAGGCTTCTGACATCTCAGATTATTTCCCATTATGATTCTATAAACCAGTGTAAAAAGGAACTGCCAGAATACTTCAACTTTGCAAGTGATGTCTTAGATGAGTGGTCACAACTGGAAAAGGTAGTATTTTTCTTTTGCTTTATAGACATTGTGTTGTAGTTTGACCCCAGCCAGCAACCAAGTACCACAGAGCTACTGGATCACATGAACACACACAGGCACAGCCCCCAGGGGGATGGGGAGGAGAATCAGGAAAAAAGAGGTAAAACCCATGGGTTGAGGTAAGAACAGTTTAGTAATTGAAATAAAATAACATATAATAATAGTAATAATAATCATCATCATAGCAGTAGTAGTTGGAGACAACAAAAAGAAAGAGAGAGAAAGAAAACTCAAGAAAGTCAAGTGATGCACAACACAATTGCTCACCACTCACTGTCCAGTGCCCAGACAGTCCCCAAGCAGTGAGCGGTACTTCCTGACCAACTTTCCCCCAGGTTATACTGAGCAGGACATTCTATGCTGTGCAATACCCCTCTGGGCAGTCTGGGTCAGCTGTCCTGGCTGTGCTCCCTCCCAGTTCCTTGTGCACCTCTTCACTAGCAGACTGTGGGAAACTGAAAAATTCTTGACTTAGTTGTTGCTAAGCAGTGCTTACTCTATCCCAGCCAAAACCAGAACACATTGGAACAATGTGCAGATGATACAAATCAGTTTTCCTGATGGATACTGGATAGATCAGCTGCAGAGTGGAATGCACTATTTTGTTTTGCTTGTCAGAAATATAG